CCTCTAGCGTGCACGAGTAGCTGGATATGAACAGGTGGAATTTACGCAGCTCATTTACACACTTTTCCTGAAGATAGAAGAGTTTGTTGAATCTGACGTGGCRTGTTCGTACGAACCCTTCATACGAACAAAAGTAAGAGAAATTTAGGATAAGAATACGAACACGTTCTTGCATGAGGCCCATTTTTCCTACATCCTGGGAACCATTTTCCAGAAAAAAGGCAGCCTTGTGGGGATTGAATGTGCATCGTGGGGACCAATGCCAGGTCCCCACGGGTACAGATGCTAATTTYGGGTGGAGGGTCAAGTTTTGGACCAAGGTGTGAATTGAGTTTAAGTTAGTTTTGGGGTCAGGTAGGTACCTGTGAGGTTATTTTTAGGGTAAATGGTCAGGGTTAGGTTATAAAAGTACCAAAAAATGAATTGAAGTCAATCCACAGTCACAGAGGGGATATAAAAACAAACCTTTGTGCATGTGTGTGTGCATGTACCTGATGTTAGTTACTTTGTAAGACCCATTTCTAGTATACATACCAACGTTGTCAGGACCAGCCTAACTCCTAATACAGAGGTACAACATTTTTGGGTTAAGGATCAGGTTTAGGTGGTGTGAAGGTGGGGTGCGGGGGTGGGTAGGGGGTTAGGTATGTACTGGTTAGGTTATGTTTAGGGTAACAAGGCTACTGAAATGAATGGATGTCAATACAAAATAATACAAAATACAAACATGTATGTTCCTCGCTTCGTATGACTGAAAGCACTTTTGCATACTAACTCACTTCAATTCATGCTGACAAACCCTAATTATTCAAAACTGATCAAGACGCCACACAAATACCAATAAGCATAAAAAAATTAAAGTTCATAAAGTCCATCAGGTGCTGACTAAATTGGACACTCCCAGAACAAACATAAAAGCATTTTTGAATACTTTACCAACACCTAGACCTTTCCATTTTTTATTCTACTGAGCTCAAGCTTTTTACCAAGAAAGTGGTTAAAAATGCATTGCCCTTGGATTAAAAACAAATTCACCTTTCTATCCATGCAGAGTCAAGTCTGTAATTACCGCTAAAGGTGCATTAACTAAATATCAGCATATGTAATCATGATTTCTTCTTTTACACTTCTGATTTGTTTTAACAAGAGCCTTTCAAAACGATTTTCTTTGAATATAATGCTCAAAACGTCACACTGCGCGAGGCAACACTCACCTGGCACACTGATGTTATGTTAATGTTGACCATTGTGTCCATAAACTGAAACACAAACAGACAAAAAAGGGAATATTATTGCAGCAGGTCAGGTTTTGTATTTGTTACACTGTATGAAATATTGCTGGGAAACAGTGACAGTTTCATCAGTTCAGAAAAAAATAAAAGCTATATAAAAAACAGAGAMTCTGACATTTGTTGTTTAAAGTAGCAATTTCTCATTATTGATGGAGGAAATAACACAAAGACAGACACATAAAAGACAAGTTAAACTCTCTTAGATCCAGGCTCTGTTTATACGTTAAATAATTTCTGGAAACATCACAGATTTACAGTCACATGGTTGAAGGGATATGCTGTGCTTGTTGAATTTGCTGTTTCCCTGTGAGGTCACTACCTGGCGCTGTGATGGAGCATGAAAACTGTTACATCAAAATGGTCAATCCACAGACATTTGTTTGGACTGAGGATGAATTTGGGTTGCTCCTACATGTTGAAAGGGTTGAGCAGCATAAACAGCACTATGCTCTCTGCCACTGTTACTGTTGTTCATCTACTCACGCAAGAGCAGAAAAACTATTGCCTGCAGCTGTCTGCAGTGTGCGCTAGTGCTGTACCAAACAATTATTTTGTAATCGATTAATCTAAAGATTATTTTTTCGATTAATCGATTATTCTAACAACAAATCTATAAGTTATTCTGATGTGAGTGCACTGGAAATTTAAAAAGTTTTCATCAAATTAACAAGAACAGTTATTTAATATTGTAATATTTTCTGTGATTGTAATATTATTGTAATTGTAATATTTTCATGAAAAACTCAACACTCTTATGCCAATATGGTCGCAATGATGCTTTTAGGTACCGAAATGGAATTGCATGAACATTCAAGTGGTGGTTATGTAATACAGCGAATCGATAATAAAAAATCTGCGTCAACAAATTTACATAATAGACATCATCGATTATTTCAACTAATCGGTGCAGCCCTACTTGTGACGTCCACGGCCTACCCCAGTTACCACTACTGTGCATGTGTGTCAAGGACAGAAAGGCAGATGTGGCAGTGGAAGGTGTCAAAGCAGTTTGGAGAGAAAAACAAAGTAAAGAACAAAAAATAAATAAAACGATTAATCGATTATTAAATTAGTAATCGATTATTTTAATAATCGATTAGTTGTCGATTAATCGAATAATTGGTGCAGCCCTAGTGCGCGCATGTGATTTCACATTATTGCTGAGAGTTTACAAAAACCTCCACTCTGAGACCTGGATTCAGCGAAAGTGACAGCTGTCGTGGAATACACAAACAGCCAAAGTGCAACATAAATGCTACGGTTTCATTTCAAAACCGCATCACATAAACAGGGTCCTCGATAGATCTATAAGGACGTATGACAAACATTCCTCTCTACTACCTACAAAACTGAAAGCATTCATGAGTTAGAAGCTGGCACTTTCAGGTCTTTTCTTCAGTAGAAGTGTTTTGAAAAAAGCACCAGACTGATAAAAGCAGAGCAAAGCTGTCCACTTACAGAGTATTGATCTAGCCTAAAGTGGACTTGATTGATCCAACCAGGTCTTCTGTCTAACATAACTGAACTGACCAAACAGACAACATCAACCATCACAGTAGAAATGAGACCTTTATTAAAGGCTTAAAAAAACTAGATAGGGTGGAATGTGGGGGAAAAAAAACGAGAAGAAAAAAATGCTGTGCTTATGTAATCATTGCTGTTCAAAATAAATTATGACATCAAATGCTTTTATATTATCTCTACAAGCACAGAATTTTTTGTCAAAAAATTATTATAAAACTATTAAATAAATAAGAAAAAAACTTACAGTGTCCAGATTGGGAACGTTGAGGAAAAATTCAGGGTATAAATAGGACATGCCAACATTGTTTACTATAAACAAAAGGAAATAAACAATGAAGTAACATTAAGAATAGAAACAAACACTGTTTTAGAATGAAAGTGCAGTTTATTTCGTAGGCTTTAGAGGGCAGCATAGCACTGATAAATGTGACCCATCATATCAAAAATGAGGATTAAGTCAAATTTGGTCAAAATGACCTAATACATTTTCAAATCCCTGACTTTAAAAGCTACATTTTGATACCTGGATCATTCTGATATCATAAGCTTATCCAGAGATAAGAAGAACTAATTTGTCTTGTTGGTTAAATCAATACAATACTGTTTGATCTGAATCCTGATTTTATGTAAATTTATTGAGTAATTTTTGATGTTAGTATAAAGAAGAAACCTCAAATATTATCTGTACATTAAAATTTTCCAGTTGGAAAAAAAAAACATTTCTAGCTCTCAGGGAAAATTTCAAAATTTTAAGCCGATTTTCCTCCAAATCAGATTTTTTGTTGCTACTGCTAAAAAAAGGTTAAGAATTTTTTTAAGGATTAAATTTCAGACAGTTCATTCAAATAATACACTGATAAGGCTTTAATTTATTATATTTAGACAAAATGCAATTTTTGCACATATTTAAATCAAAACCCTATATCTGCCTATTTCTCCACATTCCACTTTTGGACTTAATCCTCATTTTGATGTGATGGGTCACAAATTAATCTGTTTATATGAACAAATAAAAGTAAAAGAATAGTAAAATACACAGAATACACAGTAAATTTGAAGATGCCAATTAACTTTTAATGAAGTATTCCTTCTGCACCTGCTAGAGTCTTACCTAAAACACCAATCTCCAGTCCCGTGAGTCCATCTTCAATCTTTGAATAAATGTCAGCAGCACTGAAGTCTGCTGAAATTGTTTTGGTCTCCACACCACATTTACTGGCTGAAGACACAAGTTTGGATTTAGGTTTAGTAAATACACCAGTCAAATAAACAGATTGCTTAAATATTTACCTAAGATCCTTAACTTTGGAACAATTATGAGGAAAAAAAGTGAGCAGTAAACATAAAGAATGACTGACCACTAAATAACCCATTAAAGAGCACATCCCTTTTGAAAAAAAAGTCTTTTATGTATTTTAATGAATTCACAGAAGGACTTATATTCAAAGAATTGACTACATTGACATGCAATTAAATGCTGCATCATTTAGTCACTTGTCAATTAGCCTTTTTGAAAGATGCTCATGATAATTGAGGTACATTTGTGTTTGGGGTGACCACAAAATCACAGAGTTTTATGATTAATCCAAAAACCAATATTAGCCATTTGTCTTTGTACCAGAAGCACTATTGATTTACTTTGTTTCAAAATGTTCTGAGTGTGATTAAGTATATTTAACAGTGATGTGACATGTTTTATTAATAACTAAAATATGATTGAAAAAAGTAATAACAATAAATAAACGTGAACATATCTCTCACCAATTGCCTTGGACACATCATCGAGCTTCTCCTGAGAACGGCTAATTAGAACAATGGAAAACCCTCTACGAGCGAGCTGTAAACATAGACAAGAGCAGACTTTAAAATTTTTCCCAGATCAAATTGCCTCTTTAGCACGGATCACACTTCAGAAATGACAGAAGCAAAGTGGAACATCTCAACTGAAACAATGACACAGCAATAATTACTTTTTCATTAAAGCCTGTAAAGAAAATAATAAAAACATGAAATAAAATAAATTACATAAAATTCTTTGAAACTAAGTTTAAGTTCACATTAGAAACACAAACTACTAGAAAGATGAAGCTCATGAATCAAACATTTAAAATGCAAAGTTGTTCATCATCACTTTGAGTCAAAACATTTTCATAGAAATCTTACCTCTTCAGCATATGCTTTCCCAATTCCATCTGTGGCTCCTGTCACAACTACAAGGAAAACCAAAACAAAACATGAGTCACTTCTCACATATTGTTTCATGACCAGGTTGCATTCAACAGCCAATGTGTTAAAACCTATTAAGAGTGACAATAAAAGTCTTAGACAGAGAACCTTTACATTTGTATGTAAAATATTTTACAACCCCAGTTCCAATGAAGTTGGGATGTTGTATAAATCATAAATACAAACTGAGTACAACGATTTGCAAATCCTTTCCCAATTCATAACACTATAAAATGTTTAATGTTCAAACAGATAAACTTTATTGCTTTCTTCTAAAATATTCACTAATTTTGAATTTGATACCTGCAACACATTTCAGAAAAGCTGGGACAGGGGCAAGAAAATACTGGAAAAGTTGAGGAATGCTCAGAAACACCTGTTAACAGGTTAGTTAGAAACAGGTGTCAAGATTGGCTATAAAGGGAGCATCCCTGAAAGGCTCAGTAGTTCACTTTGTGAACAACTGCACAAGCAAATAGTTCAACAGTTTAAGAACGTTTCTCAACATACAATTTCAAGGAATTTAGGGATTTAATCATCTACAGTCCATAATATTATCAAAAGATTCAGAGAATCTGGATAAATCTCTGCAAGTGGCAAGGCCAAAAAAACAACACTGAATGCCCGTGACCTTCGATCCATCAGGTGGCACTGTATTAAAAMCAAACATCATTCGCCAAAGCCAGATATTAACAACACCCAGAAATGCTGCCAGCTTCTCTGGGCCTGAGCTTATCTGAGATGGACTGACAAAGTGGAAAACTGTCCTGCGTTCTGACGAGTCCACATTTCAAATTGTTTTTTTGGAATTCATGGACATTGTGTCTTTTGGGTTAAAGAGGAAAAGAACTGCTCAGACTGTTATCAGCGCAAAGTTCAAAAGCCAGCATCTTTGATGGTATGGGTGTGTTTGTGACCATGGCATGAGTAACTTGCACATCTGTGAAGGAAMCATTATTGCTGAAATGTGCAGGTTTCAGAGCAACGTGTGCTGCCATCCAAGCCAYGTCTTTTTCAGGGATGTTCCCGCTTATTTCAGCAAGACAATGCMAAGCCACATTCTGCACCTGTTACAACAGTGTGGCTTTGTAGTGAAAGAGTGCGGGTACTAGACTGGCCTGCCTGCAGTCCAGACCTGTCTCSCATTGAAAATGTGTKGCATATTATGAAGTGCAAAATACAACAATGGAGACCCTGGACGGTTGAGCAACTRAAGCTGTTCATCAAGCAAGAATGGAAAAGAATTCCACCTACAAAGCTTCAACAATTAGTGTCCTCAGTTCCAGGGTATCTGTAGATATTAGCAAGTCAAATTTAAGACGTTTTAAGACCTTTTTAGTACAACCTTGAATGAAATTTAAGACCGAAAATATAAGCGATGGTTCTGCAGAGATGGCTGGGGGAAACGGAGAACTATAATTGCTTCAGAACTAGTGCTGTACCAGACGATTATTTTCTAATTGATTAATCTAATGATTATTTTTTCGATTAATCGATTATTCTAACAACAAATCTAAAAGTTATTCTGATGTTGAGTGCACTGGATATTTAAAATGTTTTCATCAAATTAACAAGAACAATTCTTTAATATCGTAATATTTTCTGCAATAGTTTTTTTCATGGACACAAAATATGCACTCTAGAGTCAATTATTTAACAAAAAAAGCTTAAAAGATTTAACATCAACATAAAATCTCAACCAAAGCATATAAAATTCAACTAAAAGAAATATAGTGCAAGATGTTAA